GAGTAAAAGGTCCCATAACATCTGTGGACTAATCACCTAATGCCCAAACTTGAGTCAGCCGCACGGGCGGTGATATACACTGGTCTCGTTTCACCAGTTTGACTGCTACCAGCCCAGATATTGTTTTGATGGAGTTCTCAGACCTCACCAGGATATGCTGTTCTGGCTAACCCTGCACGTGCTGGTCGGTGGCATTCTTGTATCATTTCACGACCTGGTGACTGAGGCATTATTGCTAACCTGCCACTAAATCTTCGCCATGTCCAAGTTCCCTAGGCGTTCAGTCATGATCCGTCTCTCAGCCTGAGTAGCACGGTTAGCTCCTAATTTGCCGTATGTCGATTCACTTCCATTTCATTAGTGGTTACATGTACCAATGTATTTAGGGTATGGTCCGATTTCTGACTGCGGGAACGTCTTAATGGATCTTGTCGCAATGAAGTTTTTGGTAATTCAGCTTCGTCTTCCAGTCTGGATAAAAATCTTGCCAGGAAATTTTCTTTCCCTGGGAGGTGAGAGATTATCAGGTTGTGCACATGGAGGCGCGACATCCATCTGGATAATTTCCTATACTGGTATCTAGCTTCCAACAGACACTGTAGCTGCTTATAATCTGTATCGATGTGGAACCATTGACAGAGTAGATATAGTCTACATTTGTTTGACGCATACAGTGTTCTTAAATATACCTACTCGACTGCTGAATACTTCAGCGCTGTGTTGGAGTTCTTCGTAGATTCACGATTCGCAGGTGATCCAGGGTCTGCACTACAGTTGGCATGGCAAAAGGTTTCAGTTCTGTTATGCTGTTCAGCTATCGTAAACCAACATAGGATCTGCACTTTTCATTTGATTTTTTCGTTCAAAGGACAGGATAGTTATAAAGCATGTCGGCTTCTTTAATAATAATTTCGTTTAAAATCTTCGCTTAGCGCAGAACTTCTAAATGACATGCGTCTTTTCGTATAGTGAATGGTGTCTTTTTCTAGATGGCCTCTGGGATTTCACGCCTCATTTTGTCATAATAACCGTGAGAGTCTCTGTTTTTAGTGAACAGATGATCATATTCTCTCAATAACATTGTTATGTTCTGTATTTTCGAAGCCTCTACACCTGTCATCTTTTTGTTCTTATGCGAGCTGATAGGTCCATACTTTCCAATCACATTCTTCGTGTTGATTACCACACTGACCTTTCGCACAAAATCAGCTCGAAGAATGGTTCACCCTGCCAGTTAAACATAATACTTGATGGAATGTCACTCGCGACTTGGAATGCAGGTGTCCCCTCTCGATTGCTCCTACTACTTCTGATCTTAAAATTTTTTCACTATCTGTCCTTCCTGGAAGTGTATTCTCCTGTGTTCCGGTTCGCTACATACTGTTATGGAGAGCATGCCTTGTTACTTTCGCCAGCTCATAGGTTGTCGAGCGTTGACCATTTAAAATTGCTGAGCAGCGTGTTCTGGGAGAAATTTCGATTAGCTGGGACGCCAGAAAGCGCGTGTCTGACTCTTCGTCAAGTGTGAGTGGTATGTGTTGAAGTAAAATTGGCAACCACGACACCAAAAACAGCGGGTCTTCGTTTGGTCCCAGCTGCGTGGCACCGAACTGCTACACTGTCTGCTGCCTCTCGACTGGAATGTGGAACTTCAGCATCAATCGTTCCGCCAATAACTTGGGGCCTCTTTTCCACTTGTCAGCTCCACACTGTCGTGCGAAACTTTCTCCACCTCTCAGCAGCGTCACCAGAACAACCGTTTTCGTTTTTCCACACTATGGGCCCACCAGCTTATAAAAAGCACCGAAGTTTCCCAGGAAGCTACGTCGGTCTCTTTCATCGGAAGCAGCAGGCATAGGATCTTCATTGTCTGAAGGTAATTATCCAGCGAAACGACAGAGGAGACGAGAACTGGTAATGGACATTGATAAAAGAAGAAAAAAAGGTGACATAATTTTGCATTTGAGCCACATTGAAATTAGCTAGATCAACAGGTTGTAACTAGTCTACTAGTTCAGTTGCTTTCTGGACGGTTCCAAGCCTAGGAAATGTTGGATGTTAGACAAGAAAGTCTACATCGAAAAGCAATGCAGTAAGCAAATTAATTCCAAAAAAATTTACAAACATGAAAAAATTATTCTCGGACAGAATCGCTGAGATAAAATGACGCGGAGTGGTGAAAGCCCACCAGAAGCCAGTCAGCCAATGTGTCCACTTCAGAGGGAAGCAAAAATCAATATAGGGACGTGGAATCTTCGAACAATGTACGAGGCTGAAGAAGCTTACTAGGTTGCTTGAGGAATGAGAAGACATGACATAGAAGTGCTTGGAATGTGTGAAAACAGGCGAGATAGATACGGACAATCCGATTCGACAGCTGAAGAGTCAGTGATCTACCCCGGTCTCTTCAACCAACCGACAACCACGGACACAGTGAGACAGTACCTATCACAATGTCAGCAGCTACGGCAAAAGCTATTTTGCTGTGGGAATCAATCTCCTCCGGGAAAATGACAGAAAGATTCCACTCTGAATGAAGGAACGTCACAATCATAGAATGCTTCGCACAGTGCCACAAACAACTCAGGAGAAGAGAAGGAGGAATGTCTCTCCAGACAACTGCAAACAACAACAACAACAACTGCAATATCCCGAATGGCAGGCGACACCGAAATCCGAATGGGGGATATGCATGCAAGTCAAACGAGGAGCAGACAATAAAGGTAACGCGCACAAGCACAAAGGTGTACACGAGACGACATGCAATTCACTCGATGGATACACAAAAATTACAGATCAACTTCATCTGAATACTGCTCAAGAAAGTGGAAACACATTCTGCTGGACAAAATGCGAGAAGCGGAGTAGATGTGGGCCCAGACCACCTCCTAATGCAAGGGAACTTCAAGATAGAGGTGTAAGCCATCAAAGCAACTGGAGACAGACCACAATTCAAGTTCAACTGAATGACGAAGCAACGAAAAACACATGCACTGTAGCCATCAGAGCAAAGGTGGAGACACCAGTGAGGAAACGTGTGTGGAAGAACACTGGAAATCTGTGGAAGTGATGTTTGAGGAGATGTGTTCAACCCTTTTGGGGAGCAAGAATAGGCACTCTACTATTGCATCAGGTTTTGAAGAAAGGAGACGTACCTTCTATTGATTGGGAGAAAGGTTACTTCAGGACATTATATAACATAACTAGATCTCTGTTCCGGAATAGATCAATGTAGATGAAATTTATGGGATATATTCAAAGGAACCTAATTACCAAAGAGGACAGCAAAGGAAATAATGGGCTGACAACTTTAAAAGATTCTTACACCGACCATCACCTGCAACTCGTCCAAACATAATACCGATACCACTCACAGGAGTGTTGGTAGACAGCAATCCTCCAACCGAGACAGAAGTCTTGAAAACAGTCGAAAAACTTAAGGCCGACCGGGATAATGTGAAATTCCTTTGCAAGCAACAAAAGTTGGTCAAGAGATTTCAGTGGATTTGGTCATTCTACTGAAGGTTAAAAAGGGAGGAAATGTACATAGCGACTGGAAAAAGTGATATCTTTACAAACTACCAAAGTAGGATAACTTAGGCCTCTGCAAAAACTACTGTGGAATCGTATTCTTGTCCATACTAAACGAAACACTAAGTCACGTTATATTGGAGAGAATAAAGATGCACTGAATGCAGAAATCAGACCGGAATGTGCTGGATTTAGGAAAAGCCAGTCTTCTGCTGATCAAACCGTAACTTTACGCATCATCACTAAATAAAGCACCGAAAGACAGTCAATTCTCTCTCAACTTCAACAGCGTTGACTGAGAAGTAATTCTGAAACTACTTCGAAGCTATGGTGTGTTGCCAAAAGTCTTTCTCAACCTCATTCGACAGCTTTATGGATATGCCATCTGTCAGGTAATGCACAATGGAAACCTCAGTGAAGCCTTTGAAGTGACGACAGAATGATATTCCTAATTGTGGTGAACTGGATTATGGGTCAGACTGTGTATGTGGGAGGAGGGCGAAAAGTCAAGGGGAATACCTTGGACTGGTAGGAAGACTGTAGAATATATCTAGTTGGGGGACGATTTCTGTCTCATCTCACACAAACTCGATGACATACAGGTGACAACCAACAAACTGACAGGGGTGGCAAGTAGCAAAGACAGGATTTCTGATGAACATACAGGAAAGTGAGGTGATGAAAATAACAAACCGATATCGGCAACAACAATGAGAAGTGCCAATCAGTATCACCAGAAGAAATTCGAAAGAGGTTACTTCATTCAGTTCTCTAGGAAGCATCGTTTCAACCACAGGCGACAGAAGGGATGAAGGTGTAAAGCCAGAATCGAAAAGACAAGGAGGTGTTCATCACCCTGAAATCAGTTTGGAAATCTACTGCACTCAGCAGCAAAAATCAGAAAATTCGAATTCTCAACATCAGTGTTAAGTCATTCAATGCTTCTGCATATATATTGGTTAGAAACTTGAACTGAGTGTGACGTACAGCAATTCCAACAGCCTGGTGTAGACTTGTATCAACAGCTGCCTTCTCTGGCCTGCTCCATACTGAAGATCAGATGGCCGGCCGACCAGAGGGAATTAGCGACAAGAAACTCAGGGAATAATCCAGTCAAGAACCTATTACTCAGCGAATCTGTTCAAGAAAGTGAAGTTAGACCGGACACATTCAGCAGACAAAAGAAAGATATGGCATGCCAGTCCCAAGAGTGGAACCCGGATGGAAAATGACGGATTTGGCTTTATTTCAAGGGTTACATCGAGGAGGTCGCGAGAGGAATAGATAAAAGCTTTTAGGCAATCATGAGGCTAGATAAAGGTGACCACAGTGAAATGGACGAATTGAAGGTGTGCTGTCGAATCCCTATATTCCACTAGGAACCAAAGGGAACAATAGAAAAATAATAATAATAATTCAACAAATATATTTTCAAAATGTAATTTTCACATATAAAATGATTCCCTATATTTTTATTTTATTTCAAAATAATAATTTTTGCTGAGAAAACATCATACATGTGGAATACAAAATAGAAGTCATAAACATAGTGACTAAAAAATTTGAAGAAACAACATTTGAAAACTCAATAAATCTTTAATTTTTACAGATAAATGTTGTCAAAAAAATTATGTGTAATACATAAAAGTGATAGATAAAAATGTAAGAAATGCTATAGGAGTCAGTGATACGCCAATTGAATGACCTTTACATATGAAATTGTATCGAAAATCAGGGCCATCTGTGGATAAATAAGAAGACAGACACTAGTTTTGTTATAGCATTAAAAAAAACATTTACATGCAGAAGTTCGTAAGTAAAGTACTCAGAGAAATAGCAGTGAATAACACTCAAATGGTCTTTTATTTTTGCAAAAGCATCTGAAATATTAATCTCACTCCACTAATTATAAGAGAAAGGCAGAATGACGATTTACTCTAGATTATAACATTATTATTTACATTATATTCTTCAAAGCCAAATAAATTTAAAATCACTCTACGCTAGGAAAAATAAATATTCCGCCTATTATTGTTGCAATAGCATTGTGCAATTTGCTTTTTAGTTATGAAATGAAATGAAATTCAGTAATTCAGTAATATGATTTTGTCAGCGATCAATATTTCGATGAACCTAATAACTGGATCACTTCTTAGTTATATCTGACAAGTGGAATTAAGTAGTAGTCTGTTTATAACTTGAAAGGCTTAAATGTTCAGAATAATCTATGTAACTATCCAAAATGGTATGTGTATAGATGATTTTTAAAATAACCGGTTCAGTGAAACGTACGATGAAACTTAATATCATCCAGTTGACAATTTATGGACTGTAAAACAGAAGATATATATAATGTTCAGAACCTCGAAAGTAGTTTGTAGAGGTTCAACCTTTTTATACCCTATGTAAAACTTCTCACAGGCATCGTTTATCTTGCTTAAATAGCGCACAACTACGTCATATAGTACAAATGTTCAATTTTTTAACAGTAGTGTTCTGAAAAATTATGAGTCTCTTTTTTAGAACTAAGAAGATGCGAAATCTGAATACTGTATTTCTCATTGATTTTTTTCAGTCATAATAATGATGCATTGTTGTTTCACTCAGCAAAATAAAACACTTTATCAATATTCGGCATACATCAGGAAGTAGGTGTCATAATGGTGAATACTGAGCTTTTTTCACCCTGTTATAACTGTCTCGTATTACTGACAAAAATAAAAACATGTCAAGTAAAAGAGACGCCTTGTAGTTATTAAAATAATCTTCACAGTATATTCTCCTGATGTGGTAGAACGGAATGAAGTCACATATAACACAAATAAAATTTAATAACCTTTAATTTAATAACCTTTCCGTCCCTTTATTACTTATATACAAAAGCTTATATTGAACACTAGTTAGTAATTAGTGTAGTGTGTGTAGTCCTTTGTTTGTTTCAGACTGAATTCTGTCAGTCAAGTTTGCAATGTGGACATCATACCAGGTGGTTTGCTATCACATTAAGCCAATCGAGAGCCTGAAAAGCTCAGTTGTAATGTCTGTGTCTGCAGAACTGGGTGACGCGGGTTCTACTCTCAAAAACGATATAAATTCCTTCAAGTTTGGGGATACGCCTCGCTAACGAGTGCCAATTAGCACGAAACCTAGGTCGAAGGCTTTCTAATGATGGCGTTCAACCATCTACTATACACAAAGTGCTTTTAAAGGCGCTTATTTATCTATACCTTCGATACATATCTGAATGTTTTATTCGTCTAATGTAGAATGAAAATCTTATCAAGACTTAAATTGTAGGAATTCTGTTTGTTTCAGGTTAGACCACAGATTGATATCAGTTAGAGAACTGTTGAAAATCAGGAAGTACTGGACAGTTGTTTCGTTCTATTTTGGGACACATTGGCAATACGCACCCACTTGAGTTCGAAACCAATACATTCCCGTCATAAGGTAAGCTCGTAGACCATTTAGCCACTGGGAACCAATCCAATGACCAGTTCATGAATTCTGGCTACTACCGATTTGCGGTTCTAGCGTGACCACAGACCAATGTCATCGGTTGGAAATGAATCCTCAAACTTGACTGGATGGACCTCAATGATCACGAATTCTCACTAAAACTCCAGGGAACTCAGTGCTGTAACCTACCTTGTCACCGGAAGGTCCTGAGTTCAAACTCCAATGAGTGCGTACTGCCGATAATTCCCAAACAAGAATGAAACAGCTGTACAGTACTCCTTAGCCTTCAATGGTTCTCTAATTAATACCAATCCACGAACTAACCTGAGAATCTTCTCATCTTTTGTATTTAGTTTTTTAGAGAGATTAAGGCTAAAAATAAAGTTTGTTTAGTTAAGCTGATTATATTATTACCAAGATTCATCAACCCCATGGATCAGCCAATCTTTTTATAGTTGTTATTACAAAGCAATGTTTATAAAGTGGTCAGTGAAGTGTTACCATGGTGTATATCAAGCATGTTGTACGAAGCTTTTAGCTAAGTGGATTTGAACAAATTAACTTTAAGAAAGAAAATTGGTTTTGAGTTTTTTAGCCATTGTATTGTAGTCAATGCAAATCAATTCTTTAATTCTTACCCCAAGTTGCTCCAGGAATGCACTTCTCTTTGGCAATAATCTGGAACTGATTAACTGGTGAACTCATTGTGCCAACACCACCACGACTGTAACCATATACTCGTAAGTTGTATCTGACATCAGTTTTTAAATCAGTAACAAAACCAAAAGTTTTCAATCCAACATCAACGTCTTTAAAAGTTTGTTTAAACTGTGAACCAGTTGGCCAGTAACGAATACAGTAGCCCTCTACTGATTCTTCATTTGGTCTAGCCTGAATTCCTATCCATGAAACACGAATAGTATTAGGTATACCAGTTGCATTTAAGGTAACCATGGTGGGAAATTCTCTCGGAGCTGTTTTAAATGTTGTTTGTTCTGTAAAACTTGATTCAGGTCCATCTCCAGCACTATTAAATATCTTTTGAAAAGAAGAAAACAAGAATCGGGTGAATTGAATTCCTGATGAATTTTTGAAAAAATTTAGTTGAAATAATAAAATAAGTATTTGGAAGTTATTACATTTCAGTGAACGTAATATGGGAATTAAGAAGATACTCTGTTTATTTTTTCTCTGCAGTTTATGGAATTATCAGCCACTTCCAGCGCTTACCATTTCACACTTCAAAACACAGGAATTACAATGATAATAATAATAATAATAAAGAATGAGTAATAAGGAACAGCAAAAAGACATTGGGCTGAAATTTGCAGCCCGTTCTGTTCGATTTCCGGCACAAAATATCAATGGTTTACTACAGCACTTTCTGATCAAATGTGATTTGTTTAAGTTATTCTATTTTTCGCTTTGGTCGATTCATACCAGACTGAAATGCTCGGTCTCCACTGACATGTCAATTATTAGTACAGGTTTTCCAAAGATGTCTGAAGATTAATGTGATGTTTTTTGGTTGATGAAGGCTAGCGGTGGAATTTAGAATGCACATCTCGTCCTTTTTGGGACACGTTAGGTGAAGGTAGTTTTACGCCCATTTCGTGGTTTTATTCCGACTGAGGCTGTAGATGGCGAGTTCCACATAGGACGAAATGCAAATCCTGGACTCTACTACTAGCCGCCAACAATCAGGGTACTTCTTGGCATGTAGATGTTTGAAAGTTATTTAGAGAAGTTAACAAGCAATATGTGATGTCAGTTTTGGTCACATAGTGTCACCTACGGATATCTTGGTTAAACTATAGAGAAGGTTGTGCATAATCCTTCATTACTCTTAGACATTCAATCAACGTGATACAGTAGAAACTAAGGTAAATTTTAAATAGAATATATATATATGTATATATATGCTCTTCAGTCATTTAACAATTAGATTTGACGAATAAGCCAACACACAGATTATTCCAATAAATACTACCAATTGTCACTCTTGAGTTTCAGTATTTAAGTGACCTCCTACAATCTAGTGAATCAGATCGATGTAATCATCTCCACTTCATACTTTTTATATAGTAAGAGATGCCTTCATCCAGTAATTTTGGTGTTGCCTTCTTTCCTTTAGTGCTGTCAGTATCGAACATATTAGTGACATAACTTTGTAACGAATGGAAAACATTTGTAGGTGTTAGGCTAGAGCATGATGTAGTGGTACTTTGATACTTCATAATGATAATTCAATCATTGTACCATTATTTGGAGATATCACTAGGAAACAGATATCTAGAACTACGTGATGCAAATGTTCCAAACGGTGATAATCAATAAATCAATAATCAGTACTTGAAAACTGTAATAAAAAAGTTATGTAAATAAAAATTCGATCAGTGAGTTTTCATTCTGTCAGAACAAACAAACAGACTGCTTGGACGTCACACAGAAAAGCGATTTCCTTCAATAGCTCATTGGGCAGTTGGTCAGTGCAATAAATTGCAGGAAATATAAACCTAAATGAAAATTTTATTGCTAAGATATTAGTTACATATGCGTAACTTGACTTTAAATAAGAAAATGAGCTAATCTTGAGCTTCCTTGTGACCAGTGATCCATCGTTCACTAAAGGTTATTGAATACAAAATACTGATTTCAACTGATGAGAGGTTTTTATCACAAGTAATAAAAGTGTATTTCATTCAGGCAAAGATTTACATACGTGTATACATACATATATAGCCTGAAACTTTCTGAAATGTAAAAATGAACTAGAGAAGTTTGATATAAAAATATTTTGTACCTGAACAGCAATGCAATAATATGTATCAGCATCAAGTCCAATAATTAAGCCCTCTGTTACATCTCCATGAACAGTTTGCCGTTGACCAAGCTGATATCTTGCGCGATCCGACTCAAGAGAGCGACAGTCAGATATGCGTGGCCAATATAAAATCCTATAACCCCAGGTAGGTCCTTCACCTTCTGATGGAAGAGGTGGGTTCCACCAAACTCGAATAGCTGAGCAGTTAGCCGCTCCAGCGGTTACACCACTTGGTGCGTTGGTTGGTACACGGGCAGCAGACATAATTGTCACTGGCTCTGTCAAAGGACCAGCACCCTGATATTCAATACCAAAACAAACAAACAAACAAATAAATCAAAGTTAAACCAAATTCCACATAAGATCCAACTTCTGAACACAAACTAATTTAAGAGTCATTAAAATATCAGGAACGATAGTTGTATACATGCCTAAGAAATCTGATTATGAGTAGCGTTACCATGGTTTGCGTAATTTCTTTATTTTTGATTAGAGCTTGATTCCACACTCTATTTTTGGTACAGGTATGGAATTTTCAGCATGGATATCAGTAGCCCAAATTTTTGCAGACCGACCAGAGATATCAGGTGTGCGTCGGTGAGGGCTCGAACCCCGGACCATGTGCATGATCGGTGAGAGTCCTAACCACTGTGCCACCGACTCACTAATGGGTAAGTACAAGATGCAACATATGGAAATTTAGTGATTACATCTGAAAGAAACATAGAAAACTGAGAGATTCTCAAATGACTACGGAAAGTAATGTACAACACACATCTATGAGTAAGTGATGAGTTACGTAATCCAATGGATTTAATGTTATTAGTGTGGGATGAAAGTGTACAGTGCAAGACTTCTACAGATATTTGTTTAACCTTTTACTTTCATTTGTACAGACTTTTCATAACATTTAAGACTATAGAGAAAGGTCTATTGCCACTCTATGGCGAATACAGATTTACCGTGATTTTGTGGAACTATATGTTCCATTCATTCTCTCCTGTTTAGTTTTGCTAAAGTGCAACAGATACTTATTTTTAAACTGGAACAAAACAAGAATTTGAGAAGGTTCCACAGAGTAACAAAACAACAGCCTCATTTGATCCTGCTAAATTTGTCGCTATTGCTCTGTTCACATTAATCAATATGACAAATTATATGCCATATTAATTTGTGTTGTCAAGAAACTGTATTGGGGCGATTTCAGCCGCTAACTTTAGAAATTTTAAAAGTGCATAATGATGACAAAACACAGTTGACTATATGTAGTAGTCACCGGACAGTTGATTATGAAGGTCAGAGAAGATTTCTTTGATAGATAACTGGTGTAGATCTACGATAACTTATCATCTGCTAGTCGAATTCTAAGAAGCAGCTATTTATGCCAACTGGTATTTTCACTATTATTTTTACAATATCCAATTCTGTTGCTTAAACGCTTTGAATACATTTGATTGAATATGTCTGCTATATCTTCGATACTTTTTTATAAGTTGTACTCTAGTGTGATAAATTTCACTAGTGAACACTATTTATTTAATATCTGACGTGTTTGTTAAACTTTCGAAATAACATTGGACTTTTAATTAGAATTAGTAATGGTGATTCTGTTTAGCGTGATAATGAAATGCTAAATAACTGAAGTCAGGGCCTATGTCTTGATGAATCAACATCAGTTAGAGAATCCCTGAAAACTAAGGACCACTAGATAGCTGGTACAGGTTTTGGACTCTTAAATGGTCTGCACGCACTAACCCGTTAGCGGCTCTCAGGTTAAGAGACGAACTCGTTGACCAATCGGCCACCGGGTCGGTACTCATTGTTTCATGAATTTTAACTTCACTCTGTTCCCAAGATACAGAGCCACCGCCAACAAAAACCATCGAGATTTAACCATGAAACTTACTTTACTATTAACTGCTTGCAGTCTGACATCATATGGTTTGTAGTATAAGTTGTCACTAAGTGATAAAGTATACTGCATATGCTTCCCATCATCTGCCATTTTAGCGGTCCATAAATCATGAGTAGAATATTCATTGTTTCCTTTAGCTCTAATATGGGCTTTATAGTGAAAATTCGGTCCATTTTCATTAACTCGTGATAAAGGAATCCATCTGAATACTAAAGTTCCGTGTTTACCTCCACCACCTGATACATTCTGAGGCATAAGAGTGGGGACTGTTGGCAGTGTAGTAAACGACAAACTAGGTGGACTAGGATCACCTAATCCTAAAGCATTTCCTGCTCGAACACGTACCCTATAGGCCATGTTAGCAGCTAAATTATTAATGAAAGTCATTCGTCGATCTGTAAGAAATAAACAAATGAAAAAGCCGTTAGTAGCAACAGTCCAGAAATACATAGGAAGTTATTGTGAATATTTAACTTAGTTTATAAACAGCTGTAAAGGTAGCTGACTTAATTTCCATGTTTGAATAAAAGTAAGCAGCGCTATTATCAAACACCATGCGATTATACAAGTGACAAATCATCATCAACACATTGGCAAACACAAAAAAGCAGTTGTTAATTGATTGCTTTTATAGTGAGTGTAATCTTGGCATCAAATCCACTCTGAAATGCATCATGAAATTTAGTTACTCAGCGTTCTAGTGCTGTAAGTTACAGTTGGTTTTTCTCGGAAAAGTGGGTAGTTTTCGAGACAACAAATTGGGGGCACCCAATTAGTGATTGGTTAAATAGTCACGGGGACACTTCAATTATCTAAAATAATACTACCAACATGCAATATCGGATGATATTAACAAGATATGAGCTAAAAAGGAGTTCTGACGGTTGATTGCACTAGTTATATTGTCAGATAATTTAAATGCATTAAAACAAATGTGTCCAAATATTAGTCCACTCATAAATTCTACGTGTACATGTCCTATACCATCAGCAACTTTGTGATACTATATGACTATCAATGTCTGTCATATGATTTCGGACAATAAACTGTGCTCAAAACAACAATGTATAACTTCCTCTAGCTTTGTTACATTCTTTGAGGTGAATGGTTTAATTGCGAAGCCTTCATTGTCCTTCTGAACATCTTCAGCACTAACTATGCAAAAAGTAAGTAGTTAAAGTGACAAATCCATAGACAGTACAGTGTGGGATGCAGTACCAAAAGCGTCCGTTGACATTGTAGTGAATTATGGCAGTGTAAAAAGACGCTTGACAGAAGTCAAATCAAACACAACTGAGGGGTGAATAATTTTAAAGATTATTGGTCTTTCAGATTAGTATTAGGAGATTTAAAGTTGTATGGCAAAAACTGTGGAGATAATTCAAATGTACATCATTCATCCCAATATTATTGTTATTGTTAATGTTAATATCCCTAGGGTCTCAACAGCACATTTTCATTTTTTCTGTTCTCCGTAGTCATTTTCAGCTGGCTCCACGATCGCCATAAGCTTTCATCTCCTCCTATCACGACCTTCTCCCTGTCATCCTCGGAAACCCAACTCATCATTTCTTTTTCTAGCTGCATTCGGAAGCCTGGTGCGTGGTATCATTCGATGGTCTCCTCAGCGTATGTTCAATCCATCTGCACTTTTTTGCGTATTCGTTGAGCAAAAGGTTGATGATGGGTTCGTTCATCCACACAACCAAAATAAAATTATGTTTGCTTGATAATTATGTACACAACTAAGAAATCCATTGGAACCAAACCGAAAACACTTTTGTGATCTACACTCAATCCGCCAAACTGCCTAATAAAGTCATTCACAAATTAGAAATCGTTATGATTAAAACTAAAATGATGTTAAATAAAATACTCACTACTCAAATAGCGAAATAATCAACACCATGCAGTAATATACGCTGTAATAGAAACAGTCAGAGCCAAAATACAAACATTACTATTTTCAAAGCAATTTCCAATCATGACCTACTGCTTTCGTTTTATAATAAGTAGGCGAAGACCAAGTTTACAAATGCATGCAAAAATGTATTCACCTGAAGGTTTAAGTAACCTTGTACTTTGTATACTTATATTGGAAGCCATAACTGTCCATTGATTTGGTGGATCGTACATAGCGTTGGCTTCAATTTGAAAATATGAAATTGGAAATAAATGTGCTGACCCAACAGCCCAGCTCACATTAACTCGATCCACTCCAACTTGTGGGTCAACAACAACACCTGAAGTTAGTTAATACAAGGTAAGATGTTTTGTTAAATGTAAATAATAGATGGATATGTGCAATGAAATTGTGGTTTACCCTAACACTTCACGCAATGTCTTAAAGGATTCTGAAAGGATTTAACAAATGTCAAAGCAAAATGGGATATGACGATATAATCTTGGTTATTACAATAGCTAAATTTAGTGGTGATAACTTTGGTTTGCAAATGTTCGCGTGTAAAAGAAAAAGTGATGGCTTCTCTGCAACAATTTGATTTAAAGACTAACCAATACGCATTTAGAGTGCTCTTTTTCCGACACCTAAACAACGTCCACTGAATCTGAATCAGATTCTAAATTCTAACCTCCATATTTCAAGCTGTCAGGTATAACGACAGAGACAAAGCTTTCATCATGACTTGAACGCCAACACGAGGAAATCTTCCAGATTCAAGCGTGAAACAAACATTTAATACTGTTTTGACACCAGAATGATACCTTTCGGGTAGAATAATAATTAGTTTTCGGTGATTTTCCAGTTAAAAATAAGTGACAACATCTACGTTGGTATCGTTATGAACCGCAAATCTAAATACACTGTAATTATTTTCAATAGCACTATACCCTTCGTTGTTATTCATGGAATAGGAAATATGCTGTAACATTGAAAAAATGTTATGAATGCTTATAATTCATACCTCAGAACATTATATTATTACTGCTAAAGCTTTTGAAACTCAGAGCATTTCACAGCTCACGTGTTATTTAGATCATATTCAGAAGAATATTAATACACAATCTTCAACTGATTCATTATTCAAAGGTTTCATAATTTCCTTTGTTAATAAAAATAATAAAATAATAATTTTTCCTTCACGTTCCAAGTGGAACATAGGGCTTCAAGCTAGAGACTTGAAGTTTCTGTAGCAGTGTTTATTTTTACAGGATGGGGTTGCTAGCCTCATGTCCAACCTTTCCTCTTTACTAGCATTTTTTCTGGCTTAGCGAGGTAAAGGAGTACGCCGGCCGAGGATCGAACCCCGGGCCATGCGCATGGTCGGCGAGCGTCCCAACCGCTATACCACCGACTCACAATTTCCTTTGTTAGTTAATGGGAATAAAGTTCCAAGTTTTTATCGATGTATGGTCATACTGATGTTGTGTTTAATATGAACTCCACTTGATTTGTTGTTAATAGCAGTCAACTCCTAAATGTATGCTACACCTACTTTAGAAACTCAAATGCCGAATGGATTTGTAGTGCTGAGTATGTTTGTTGAGTGAGGCTGACACTCACTAGCCATGATGTTTTAGATTCCTTTCAATAAGCCTGTAATTCAAAATAGGTCAATGAATTTCATCCCATGATTTGGCAAAAGGAAGGATTGAAATTTTCACATCATACCGATAATTGTTTAACGCTAGATTCAAGACTTTGTTGGAAAAAAATATATAAATATATATTAATTGCCACTGAGAAATATCCGAATGTCTTAGCTGACGAAAACCGGTTTTCCGAAGTTCACTTCTAGACACCACCATATTCCACCCAAATTATTGTGAATAGATGACCAATTTGTTTTTGCTTTCATTTTACTTGACAAGTTAGTGAAAGCTTTTTTTGAATGAACTTATTATGAAGTGAAGCAGTAAGCAGTGATACTCTTTTGTAGGTATGAACACAAACAACTTTAAGAGAATAATTCGGGTGTACTGGTTCAAGTGTTCTTCAAGTTGGTTTTCTTTGCAAATTGCATGACATTCAATGATATTGAAGTCTGCATCCATATTAAGACTTAAAAGTTTCGCATTTTAAATGTTAGGTTCACATTATAGACTTTACTTTAGAAAACACTTCGGAGAACACCTTTTACAGAATAAACGTGTTTCTTTGAACTTATATCAAATATTTAAACATATACTGTATTTATATATGCTTACCACCACATGGTCCGGGAGGTCCTGCAACCCTAACTACTCCACTTGAAGACTGTGAATTCAAAGGAGTCTCAGCTACACAGGTGTAATTTCCAGAATTTTCAAACTGAATATTAACTACCTTCAGTGTTCCAAAATAATTTCCATATGGTCTGTAGAGTTGGGCAAGTTCATAACGTCTGGCATCCAAGTCTAATCGATCGAACCTAAGATATACCCCCTAATAGTCAAAATGAAAATAATAACATACCAGTACACTGAAAGTTATAAAAGTGATTAAAGTAATCAGTATGAATTTACTTTGAAATTAATTTATCAGACGATATTACTATTGATTAACCATTTTCTTGTATTGAATAAGGTTTCCATGAATTTCTTGATGCTGTTTATCTCGCTGTTTATTCGGAAGGTGGTAATATACCACATATATTAATCGGTAGCAGGTACAAGCTCTCAGTTTCGCTTGCTTCCTTGATACCAGATGCAAATCGTGGTCCATATATTTTAGGTTTCTGATAAAAATGGTAATAAACTTTTACCTTTAGTTGCTTTATTTGTATTCTAGGCTTCACAAGCAGGATTTCATCGGTACAGAAGAGTCGCCAGTTGTACGCTGCATAGTTTTTAGTGTTAATCGGATTCTGTCGATCAAGTTTCGATTTTTATCTGAAGTCATGAGATTCGCCGTCCTAGGGACCCTTTGGTAAATGTTTGGTGGTTTGATTTTATCAACAAAAGGTCCTTCTTGGTCTAGGTTTTTCATGTGTCACTTTTAGCCTAAAACATTGCGTGGATTAATTCCGTGTTAGATGTTTCAGCACAAATGAACAATACAGAATCTCGATCTCTTTAGTTTCAGATTGATACAAACAGTATTGTGCACTTCACTTATACTACTGCTAGATCTTATCATTAATGCTTTCATGTTTACATTACTTCTCAAGTCGACCAGATATTAAAACTTCAGTCGGAGATATGGAGCTATTTCGTGTTGGATTTAAAATCGTTTAGTAGTGGATATTGAAGATATTTTTTCATGTGATCAACCAAAAGGGAAACACGTGTATTTCTGTCACAAGCTTCTAGTTTCACTGTCTTTTACTTTAAAATTCCAGCTAACCGACAATACGTCACGAGTATCATGACGCATACTTGTGTTCAAAGTTGGCTACTATCGTAAATTACTATCATTCTCGGTAATTAATAGTCTCGGCTTAAGTCATTCTACTATACAGATTGAGTAATGGAAGAGTTGAGATAGCAGAGGGTTGAAAATGAAGACATAACATAAGTAAAGAGTGGACGGACGAGGAAATAAAATATTTAATACTTTCAGTTCTTTTTGATAGGCAAAAGCAAGAAATATTGTGGAGTGAATTCAATTGATTTCATTTAGTAAGCTTTAAATCTTCCACAAAGGCAGTAAGTTTGAAATTTGTGCACAACTTGATGCTTCAAATCTGACACACGCTGAAGGTAAAACTAACACTGTGGTGAGAGCTAGCTGGTAGCCAAAGTTAGTAGACAGTAATTTACGTTGGCAACAGCGCGCTTTTCGATTAGTGCCTTACGTTTTCGCCGATATATATAAAACTCTCATTTCTTTGTTGTATCTCACTACGAAGTTCTGGAATTTATTACAATCTGTCTACTTTCGAACACCGAACCTGTTGGTATAATACCACTGGCTACTTATACCCATAACAAAGTATTGTTTGTGACCTTTCAACACTAACATATCTGTAATTGTATATATTATTGGATTTATATGTTCAAGTTGGCCCAAGTCAGTGAGTCTATCGTTTTGATATCATTTTAGTTAACTGTGCTTAACCGTATTGCATGTTGTTGTATTTTATTGTTGTTGTCGCTTTTTGCCCTTTTTGCTAGGAATTATTTTCCTTTTGCTGGTGTTGTTCTGATTGTTTTGTCCGTTGTTTTCCGATTTTAAGGGAAGCAAACCAAAAGGTCTCTTCTCTCTAAACTTTATCTTAATGTAACAATTCCTTTCTCAGGCGTGAGGCTAGCAACCGCACCCGGTAAACAAAGTTGCTACAGAAACTTCAGCGAAATGAATCTCTTTGCACCAAAAGGAAAAGTCTGTGTGGGGAAGTGGAACGTCCGCACCATGTACGAGATTGGAAAAGCTGCCCATATCGCAAACGAGATGAAAAGATACGGAATCCAAGTACTGGGAATATGTGAAAGTAGATAGAACGGTAATGGACTCACCAAATTGTCAACGGGTGAGTCAGTGATCTACTCCGGTCACCCAGAAGAGGACCACACGCACACCGAGGGTGTAGCTATCATAATGTCACCAACAACAACGAAGACCTTGATGCAATGGGAGGTGATCTCGTCCAGGATAATGACAGCCAGATTCACCTCAAAAAGAAGGAAAGTGCCAGTCATACAACGCTATGCAACCACAAACAACGCAGACTTCGAAAAGAAAGAAGAGTTCTACTGACAACTACAGGCAACAATGGACAATGCTCCAGCTGGTGACATTAAAATACTAATGGGAGACATGAACGCCAAACTGGGACCAGATAACACAAGAAGGGAACTCATGATGGGTAGAGAAGCTCTCAGAGAAGTGAATGAAAATGGAGAACTCTTCACCGACTTCTGCACCTTCAATGAACTAGTGATTGGTGGCAGCGTATGCAAACACAAAGATATCCACAAGATTATATGGGTGTCATCAGATGGGCGAACCAAAGACCAAATTGACTTCATCTCAGTTCCGCTCAAGGAAATGGAGGCGAAGCTTACTGGACACAAAAGTAAGAAGAGGAGCAGACGTTGGCTCAGACAACTATCTCATACAAGGAACCCTCTAAATCAAATTAAAAGCTTTCAAAGAAACAGGAGCTGCAGATTGACCACAAGCCAAGTTTAACACTCAGAAAATGAAGGACCAAGATACAAAGGACATCTTCACTGCAAGTATAAAGGACAAACCCGGGACACACGAAGAGATCAGCGTCGAAAAGCACTGGGACAACCTGAAAACGGTGTGGAGTCAAACCTGCATGGAAGTTATAGGCAGAAAGGAGAGGCAGGACAAACAGTGGCTCACTACGGACACTTAGGGACTTATGGAAGACGGAAGGGTGGCGAAACAAAAGGTTATCCAGTGCATCGACGAGTAACAAAACAGGAGTTGAGTGCGAGCTACAATACACTGAACAAAAGGGTAAGGAAGAATGCCAGGGAAGACAAAAGAAAATATTATGAAGCCATAGTAAATGAGGCAGAACAAGCTGCAGGCAAAGGAGACCTCTCAACACTCTACCAAAAAACTACATTCCTATCGGGGAAATGTTGGACACAAATTAAGCCAGTGAAGGATGACAATAGAAAGTCAATCACCAAAGAGGTGGAGCAAAGGAAACACTGGGCTGAACACTTTAAAAGACTTTTTAATCGACCGTCACCTACAACGTGCCCAATAATATTAACAGCGGAAGCACAACTAGCAGTGGACACCAACCTTCCGACGAAAACAGAAATCCTGAAGGCAATAAAGATCCTGAAGACTGGAAAAGCAGCAGGACCAGAGACAACAGCGGACTTGATGACGCCACTACTGGAGAAGGTGTGAAAGGGATACTTATTCAAACTACTAAAGAAAGAAGACTTAAGTCAACGCAAGAACTGGCGCGGCATTATGCTCCTGTTCATCCCAAGTAAGGACTTAGCCGCATCATCCTGGAGAGAATCAAACAAGCTCTGGATGGAGAACTTCGACCGGAACAGGCTGGATTCAGGAGAAACAAGTCATGTATTGATCAAATCGCCACACTGCGGATCATCATTGAACAAATCTTGGAATGGCAGTCACCTGTCTATCTCAACTTCATCGACTTTGAAAAGGCCTTCAACAGCGTCGATCGCTACCACGGGGTGCCACCAAAAATTATACATCTCATCCAACAGTTGTACAACAATGCTGCATGCCAAGTAATCCACAACGGGAAACTTACAGAATCCTTCGAAGTGAAGACAGGAGTAAAACAAGCTGGCTGCCTACTATCGCCTATGATTTTCCTGATTGCGGTATATTAGATAATGCGACAGACAGCGGCAGGCAACGAGGAGACACGCATAAGATGCACCCACACAAAAACTTGGAGGATCTGGATTTTGCCGATGATATATGGCTGATTTCCCACAAACTGGAAGATATGCAAGTGAATAGGCAACAAGTTCGCCGAAGAAGCATCCAGAGAAGATAGGCCTTCAGGTGAACATAGAGAAAACAGAGGTGATGAAGATTCCCAGCCAATAGCAATAGCAACAACAACAACAGACAACAATCAGCCAGCATAAATGGGATGAACCTGAAAGAAACAACCTCCTTCACCTATTCACCTACGTGGGAAGCATCGTTTCAACTACAGGCAGTCGGAACTGACGAGGATGTCAAAACAAGGATCGGAAAAGCAAGATAAGCTTTCATTACTCTCAAGTCTGTGTGTAGGTCAACAGCGCTCAGCATGAAAAATCAGATCTGGATTTCCAACTCCAGTATGAATTCAGTGCTACTATACGGATCAGAGACTTGGCGCGTCATAAAGTGCACCTCAAACAAACTAATAATAATAACAGCTTTATTCCAAACAGTATTTGTGGTACAGGTATGGAGTTTTCAGCGTACATTACAATATATTGCATCTAATTACCTCATAAATTTTATAAGATTTTAAAATCAAAAAGCAACACAAAAAAGATAAATGAAGAAAAATAAAAACAACAGGATATGAAATATAGAATTGGTATGTAATAGAAGATGAGAACAACAGTGTAATAGTAACGAGGAAAGGAAAACAAAAACTAATGGGACTATTTGTTAGAGTGGCGCAGTAAGTTGACTGTGTCATACTTAACGGACTTCTCATCACATAACAGCTGTGCCAGATATGGTATTTGTACTTGGTACTCCTAGCATATAGTATATACAGACCTTCATTAACAACTGTCTTCGCTCAATACTCAAGATCAGATGGCCAGAAGGAATTAGCCACAGGGTGGGATCTCTGGGAGCAGACCAACCAGTAACCGATTGTGCAACAAACAGGCAGAAAGAAATGGAGGTGGATTGGCCATGCTCTGAGGAAACCATCAAGTTTGGAATTTTCGTACAGCCTAAGCTCAAATATTGGGGATTTATGAGTTAAAACACGAATGGTATAAATGGTAGTTTAATTACACTTGTGTTTGCTGATTATAAAGAAAAGTGAGACTTATTTATCTTTAAACGTCTTTTCTTCATAATTCGTTTAAATTTCACCCTTCACATTATTTGAGTAAAGTAGAAAAGTAACAGCCCGTCAGATGATATATATATATATATATAATTTAATAAATGCTTATGAGAATACAATTTACCTCAAAATACCAAGCATAATTGACATCTAAATATGATGAACTTTGAACACGACATGGGAGTAGTACTGTAGAATTCCGGTAAACAACACGAGATATTGGAGTTAGACTCATTGTTAATTGTGGGACTATTGTCAGTAAAGCGCTTGATTCAGCTTGACCCAAGATATTTTTAGCAATACAAGTGTATTGTCCAGCATCTGATTCGACTAAATTGACTATCAAAAGATTTTTACTGGGTAGTTTACAGTATTTAGTTCCACACTAAAACGAAATAAATAAATAAAACATATTTCATACTACTATTTTATCTTCAGCTGATAGACTGCAATATGATTCATCTAAACATAGCAGTCTTGATCATAAGTTCCTACTCCTTTTGAAATAACAACATAAATATAATTAATCAATTGATTATACCTTTTGTTTCTTCATTTTATAAAAGAATATTTAGGATGAAAACCAATAACAGAAAAATTAACAAAACCTATTACTGACATATAACCAGAAAGATTACGCCTAAGCTATACATCATCTTGATTCGTGTGATATGTGACACCCTGAAGCTGTGGATCAACTGTACAGTTTTATTTACAACTTAATACTAAGCCATCGTGAAGACTGAACACTTTTATGAAAAAACCTGAAAATTTACCACCCCTACTTGTCCCAAATATTTGTTTGTTTTTCAGAATAAGCCAACAAAAATACAGATTATTTGATCGAAACATACATTTGCACTTCCTGTTTGTGGATCCAGCCAACTTTCACTTGTGGTAAGAAGTGTTCCATCATGAAGCCATTCGATTGTCATTTCAGGAGCTCCTTCGGGTTGACACTCCATGACTGCACTACCACCAATCATACCTTCATTAGGCATAACAGGATGTTTCTTAAATGTCGGCGCTAACTCCAGTACACGTAATTCGGCTGAAGAAGATTCGCTACCCAAACTGTTCCAAGCCAAGCATGTAAACATACCGGAATCTGAAATTCCTACCTAAAATAAAATTAAAAAGACTCGTGATCATAAAATCAATCTGTGATGTAAAAATCTTAAATAACTGTCTTTTGTTGTTGTTTACAGCTTACCTAACGTTCATAGTATTAAAACGTCAGAGGTTAATTTTCAGCTGCCTAGAAAACGGAACTTGAGCAACACTCTTCTACAATTTTTCCAAATCTAGCTAAAATCAAAAATCATACTTCAAATTCCTCTTTTTTTCATGTTATTTTTTTAATGATTTGCACACCAGACAACAAATACTTAAATATTACCTTTCTTGAATGATTTGTAATTTTATACAGCTCAAATATAAACTAGTGTTAAATCTATATTGATTCTACCACCAGAATGTAACCTCTGTCATGCGTCTTGATCTTGGTTAAACTGACAGAATTCTGTCAGCCAATGTACACTATAGTCAATAATCTAGGCTACTCACCAACGGGGTGCACTTTTGAATTAAGGTTACATTGTCGGAGGCAATCGGAGGATCCCTGGATCAAGATTTCCTACTTTATGGTATTATTCATTATGGCATATCTCGGAATTGATCCTTGTAAGTCTATTGATTAGGCTTGCCTAATTTTAGGGTATCGAATATACTCTGAGATGACGATTAGATTTCAAAAAGCTATGTACTTCTGACGAACTAATTCAGTTGTTTGTCAACTAGGCTATAAAACACTGATTGACAGAATATTTTATTTTTTCTGCATATCAAAGAGTCACCTAGGCTAGAAATCTCTCTCGTGTTTTTCATTTCAGGGGACATGAAAATTTGGCGAGAGTTTGAGGAGGATAAAGAAATATTCAAAGTAATAACAGATCTCAATACTTTCTTAAATTGGTTCAAAGAATGTACGCTTATCACGAACGTAGCTAGGTGAGGCGTCACACACATTGGAAACATAAGTGCTAGTGCATATCACTTAGCTGGTAGATTTCTCCCCACAGTTCAGACGCTCACTGGTTAGAGTGTCATAGTGTGTCATGACTTGGAAACCTACTCATTTGCAGATTGCTGCTTTAGAATCTCTTAATCAGTAATACTTAGGAAATTTACTGGCGTCACCACTGCTTTATATATATATATTGGCTAGGTCCACACTAGAAAACCTTATTTAATTAATCGGCCTTTGCCTGAAAGCTGGCTAAAAAACGCCGAAACGCGTCCACATGTAGGATAACTGATTTGTTCAGTTTTGCACACAAAGGAAAACTTAATAGACCGAATCTCTTCTCTTTATCATACAGCTGATAAAGAGAAGATCATGTCAGGATGTTCAAGTTTAAAAAAACTATTATAGAACAGATTTATCATATCTTTTCCTTCCCACCATTTCGGAACATCTCATACAACATAGGAAGATAGTTTGAAAACAAAGAACGAATTATTTCTCTGTACATCAGTGGTCAATAAGTTTTAGAACCAAATCTCAGAAGACCTGATCTTGATCTTCATTGACATGTCCCAATAGGGAACTGAGATGTACAAATAGTAAATTGAAAAGGAATAACATAGGATACAAACATCCTGTTGTCCATTTAGAAATTTGAAATTACAATGGCAAACTGGTTTTTAACCTTATTTCATTTCGTTTAGTTTTCTCATCGCACTATTTCTCGTGTAGATCTTCGCCCTTTTGCTTAAAGTCTTATAATAGTTGCTTTTAGTGAGCATTATACTTCATTGCCGACATTCATTAATACTTGATTGATTGAAACTATTACTCTGTAGCTTTCTGTTCAAAATAGCTCATTTTAATCACAAAATCAGTGAAATTATTCCTAAAAATATAAATCACATAAATGTACTCAATAAAAAGGTAGTGACTGAAAATGTAAGAATACAAGATACAAAGCCCATTTTAATATATGTGTATTATTTTTAAAATCACTAAATAGATACCTTACGAATTCGTAAAATCGATCGTGTTGGACCATCATGTAAGATATTATACTGATTTGGACTTAATTTACCAGTAGCAGTCAGCTGACTTATTGTTATATCATTTCTATACCACTCGTGGGCAGGATTTGGAATACCGGATGCTTCACAAGTTAAAAATACATCAGAGCCCACATCTACCACAGTATTTTGTAATGGTGTTGTAAAATATGGTTTAGCAGTGATTTTTAAATTCAGAGTCTTAGGTCTGGCTCTTTTTCCAAGTGAATCTTCAACCTACAGTTTATTAAAAGGACAGAAAAATGAAAGTGTAATGTTTAAAGAAAATGTAATTCAAACAAAGGAAAGTGGTTATGAAGAGACTAATTAATCCATAGCTTCAAATAAGTCATACTGACATAGATTTACTCAGTCAGTACCACCGAAATTCTCGATCTTGAATTTTTTTTTAATTCAGACAATGAGAAGACATGGCGCCCCAGATGGTGTGACGTTAGACCGACAGTTATTTAACATTAATTCGCATGACTGCTGGGAGAAACTCCTTATGTTTCTAGCGTACACAGAATCCATTTAGCAATTAGGTCATACAACTCTGTCTGTACAGTTTGGTCAGTAACAAAGAAGATGCTTCAAATATCATGCAGACATTCCATATCCAAATGTGTGATTCCACTTCGATCGAGTGAAGACAAATAGGTCGACTGACTTCCAGAGAGTCATCACTAGAATAGGTTTGTTTTCTATATTTTTCAGAGGATTGAATTTTTTGCAGAAATACGGTTGTTATTTTACTAGGAAAGTTCACTAAGAACACCCGTACCTGATCCTGCCTCTTCTCCAGGCCTCGGATCACCCATGAAACTAGTCGCGGAAGGAAGTCGATTAAAACAGATGCCATCCTGTCAAACTGCCGAATGAAGTCTTTGCAAGAAATGGTGCATGCTACTGTCCATTTCAAGCACAATACTAGATAGGATCATTCTAGAAAGGATGAAAGATGCCTTAGATGGAAGATTTTGACTGCGACAGGGTGAGTATAGCAAACACAAGTCATCTACGGATCAAGTCACAACACTATCTGTCATCATCAAACAGAGCCTAGAATGCTTGTCAACCCTGTTTTTTAACTTCAGTAACTTTGGAAAGGCCTACCAAAGCGTTGATTGTCAATTATCGACTGCAATGGCTCAAAAATTTATAAACTTCATCCAACAGCTTTGTGACGATAACCCTGCACGCCAAGTAATTCACAACAGAAAGCTTACCAAAGCCTCTGAAATGAAGACAGGAGTAAGACAAGGCTTCTCTATATCGCCTATGGTCTTCCTAAATATGGCGTACTGGATCATACGCGAACCATCAGCAGTAAGAGTAAGACCATAAGTTAGACTAACAAATGGAACCCAGAAAATGTAGATTACGCAGACGATTTATGTCTCACGTCGAACAAACCTGAATATTTATAAGCGAAATCCAGCAAGTTGGTAGAAGCGGGAGACAAGAGAGGAATTCAAGTGAACACAAAAGACACAGGTGATTAAGATATCCAACTAGCTACAGTAAGAAGCACCAATCATCATAAAGTAGGAAAATCTAAAGGATATCGTCTCTTCCAACTACCTGGGCAGCATCGATTGTTTCGATTCCAGGTGCAAGCTAACAAGGACCGGACCTCAGAAGCAAGAAAGACGGTTATTCATTACTCTGAAATCACCGTTAAGATCCACAGCGTTCAGCAAAAGGATTAAGATCCGAATTTTCAACATTTATACCAATTCAGTGCTTCTATCTGGTTTAGAGGCTTACTGCACGCGTCAAAGAAAGCATTTTGAGCAGATTACTGTTCACTCTCATCAAACAGAAGATACCTTCGTTGGTTCGATAGTGAAGACCAGTTCGCTGGTTGGAAAGGATAAGAAAAAATGAATTCTTGCAACCAACCATCCAACAACCTGCTACCCAAGAAATATTAGAAAGGAAATGGAGACAGATTGGAAACATATTGGGGAGACATTCAAGTGACACCATACTCAATCCTTTGAGTGGAACCCGAATGAGAAGCGATGAGTTGAGCTTCTGATTGTGAAATGGAGTAGATCTCATGCGAAAAGTAAGTGAAAGCATGTAGACATTTGTGGAACCAGGTTAATATAACCGAAGAGAACCGAGTACAATGAAGGTGTGTTTCTGAAGCCTTGTGTCCCACAAGATGAATAATGACAACAATAGTAATAATAATAATGTAGACATCAGCCTGTTGACCCAAAGATGCCTCTGGCAGTCACCCATAATAGGAAAATGTATACATAGTGAATGACTAGTCGTGCTCAAAGCTACTTTTCATACATAACCCAAGCTTATTATAATGTTGAATTAAATCTCACTAATTCTGAAATAATTCTAACATTCTATAGTAGGAAATTCTGAATCTGTTCTGAAATGGATTCTTTAATGGCACAGACTAGAATTCAATGCAGGTTTTCAACATGACTGGCACTAATTCAGCGCCCTGTTCTTTTACTAGGCATTTTCAGCAGTAGATTACAACCTACTGGGTTTGCTTATCAGCGCTGTTCCAGCCCTCACAGGATATATTGAGCACAACCAGCATTATTTCAGAAGATAGTGGGTAGATAAAATCTTCATTTACCATAAAAAGGCATTATCGAAGAATAGGTTAGAATAAGCTTAAAATTATTGTAAGCTTGGGAAAATGAGCTGTGAACATTAAAAAAATACTTCCATAATCATCATTTTATGTACAGTGAACAATTAAGCACATCATTAACCTATGTGCGTCGGTGGCACAGCGGTTAGGACTCTCGCCGATCATGCACATGGTCCGGAATTCGATCCTCTGCCGACGCACACCTGATATCTATGGTCGGCCTGCAAAATTTGGGCTACCGATATCACATGCTGAAAATTCTATACCTGTACCAAAAATACGGTGTGGAATCAAGCTGTAATCAAAGTATCAATGTATATAAAGATCCACGCAAAAGCTGAAAGTTCAAATATACTTGACATACTATCCACGAAGCATAACCTCGCACTATTAATTCCTCCAATCAACCTATAACCTAAAACTTACACTGCATTCATATTCTCCTTGATCTTCAGGTTGTACATTGGGTAATTCAATCACACGGTCATAATCTTTAAGGCTATCCGTTCTCAGAGGTGCACCATCCAGCTAAAATAAGTATGAAGGAGAGCAGTAAAAATAATGACAGTTATAATGCATCACGAATGTAATAGTTCACAGTAAAACAGATTTTATGATAATAGGGAGCTAGCTATTCATTCTGTGCATACCGATTTTCAGAGGTGAAATGAGATTCCTTAAGGATGGAAGCACACTTTATTGATGAGTGCCAATAAGCAGAGGGCATAGATTTGTTGTTTCCTGCTAACCAGTTTTTATTATACAGAATGAAATATAAAATCACTTCAATGCACAACTATTTTTATGTTACTTATCTTACATGTCTATATACACAAAACAAGGACATCATGATGCACATGCTCCTATGACCAATTTACTTACACCTGAGAATGTCATGACGTTAAATGACATCACTATGTAAAACAGTAGCCCTTGACAAGGCCATTGTTTCCTTTTTCTATCTTTAGTTTACGTAATATAGAACTGTAGATATTTAAAGCTTTCGTCTATCCTTTTTTAAAAATAACTAATTAACCATAGCTACACAAGTGAGATTTAAAAAGTAAATAAAGAAAATTATTCCTCTTTATTAAAACTTCAACACGATGGCGTTTGTCTACTAGTTTTAATGTAGCATTAAGAGTTTATCTCACCATATCATTCAAAAATATATAATATGTATATATATACGTTTGTAATAGATAGACAGCATAGCTGATAAACGAAAAAAATCACGTTAAAAGCTTACTCTGCGCCATGAATACTTCAAGCCATCCTGTTGACTGTAACCAGCAGCAAAACATTCTAAACGAACAAGTTGACCACGTTGAGGATTTGTTGGCCAAACGGCTGGAAAGTCATCGTATATTCTAGGATCTTGTCTGGGTTCATTGCTATATCTTACGGTAAAAGGCATATCCGGAAGCTTCGGAGAATCATACATACGATGACCATCAAACTGCATTGTTATCATACACACGTAAGTTCCGCTATCCTTTTGATATAAAAAGACGCATCTAGGTAAATAGCTGTAAACTATACATGAATAAGTACAACGTGTGAAAAGTGAATTTAGATAAGACAAACGAGAACTTCCTTGGGGACATCTGAATCACTAATGTATCATATCTTTTGTTAAGATCTACTGTCAACACATAGTTTAGCTAACTATAGCTCAGATAGTCCATTAAATATTAGAAACTTATGGTAATTTAAAAAATAAAATGGTCTAAAGTAGTTCTTGAAAATGCATAAAATAACCAAAAATACCTGTAAGATGTCAGCCCCACCTGTTGTTTTAGGTATCAGTTACTCCTTAATTTGTGAGTATTTCACAGAATCTTTGGTTAGACTGGCTGTTACTGAAACTACACTATTCTTTACAAAGATGAACTTTAATGACAGAAGTCAGTGGAACAAAAACTCTTCTTGATCTAAGTTTCACGTTTGCTGGAGCTTATTAGCAAGGCGTACCTGTGAATTTTGAATAGCATATTATCCCTCTTAAATCTGAACCTATGTCAAACACAGCTGAAGTCATCTACCCGATCAGTGAACAGCTAACCCATTAGGTGACTGATTCATGGAAAGTAATTAATCATATATATATATATGCGAAAATATGGTTTTTCCACCTTAGAAGCTTAAGTTTCGGCAATACAGATGAGGCAGGAAAGCAGTGATTTGGCAGGTTACCATTGTACAAGTTGTAGATATTAAATGATCGGTATCGATAAGATAATTAACTAATGCACTTCTTTTTTGACCTACTTCCAACTTTTCATAACCATGCAGCGTAGTGTTAATTCACCATCTTAGATAGAAAAATCGAACCTTTAGTTCTAAGAAGAAAGTCAACTGGTATACACGCGGTGTTGGTCAACTGCGGGGTCCTCGGGCTGTTGAAAATTGATGGTTGACTGCTGGACGTTGCTGTCAGCAATGCTAGACCAACGCTTTGTGTGTTTTGACTGCAAGTTTTTATTTGTCTATCCATTTTTGATCACGGCTTCTCTTATAAGAGTTAACTCTTCTTTCAAGGCACCAGGCCAGCATATACGCCTAATTGAAGTAGCAAGTGAAGGAATTAAGTTTCGACAGTGACCAGTAGGTACCTAAATGGATCACATGTCCTCCTTTCTCTACATTAATGAACTATGGGAAAGGAAAATTCTTATAGTTACAAAAATAAAAATTTAATGCACAATAAGTCGATAACTTACTACTGCAGTGACTTCTGAAAAGCCAATAAGACCCTTTGCCTGTGAAATAAAAACGTTTCTACGGTATTGTGGTAATACTGGCTCCAGTTCCCCGTTTTTGTTCATGTAAACAGTATAAAGCAAGCCTTAAACAAAAATAATTTTGATGATTATTCACATACTAACAGATAGAGTTTCAATAATAAGAAGATATAATGCCGATTTTCAGTCGTAATACTAATGAATTGAGAAGCAACTGAGCACGTATATCCTAACTACCGAGGTTAGGTAGGGAAATCAAAGGTAGATATCCCGTAAATTTTGATAGCACCACAATGTATTCAAAAAACCATCGGAAACTGTATCAACCTAATAGATTTAGTATTTAGCTATTACCCGAACATTGGTCAAACTTTCCGGAGTAAAATATAAAACTCGACTTTGTTCTGCATGCTTTGTTAAAATAGGCCAGTGGGGAGTGCTAAATCTACAAATCTCTGACACAACGAAAGATGGATATCTGAATGATTTCTTTTATAAAATGACAGCCGTTACTGCTTACCATCAGTACATGTTTATCATGAAAACGTTTACGAAAAAGAATGCAGATTGGAGTACACAAGTTTTAAAGGGTTTTTAATGTTTTCATTGCCTATTAAAATAAATGTCACTTTTTTGGTAGTAGATATACAGCTTAAAAGGGGCCCCATCTGACTGTTTTTCCCAGCAGTTTATGTTTCGTAAACTTGAGATGCAGTTAATTTAAGTCAGCTTTTCTCTTTCGACCTCTGTCGCTTTTACAACTAATAACTGGTAATATTAATTCACTTGAACCTTGTCGATATATCAATTTTTAATGTTTTAGTTTCAGCCTGAAACAGATACATGAAGCATTTTTGAAGTCACAGGAATTTCGTTATTTGAATTTCCTCCTACAAGTCTTTTAGATGCAACAAATTTTGCAGTATTTCATCGTAACATTTCAAGCACAGTGGGAGATACTTAGATTAAATCTGACTCTCAGTTCAATTTCTTGGTTTATAAAGTTCATTTACGCAGCTGTACTCCTTCAAAAATATTCCTAAACATTTCATTTTAGTGACGTTCATCAAGAAACTTAAATGAAAACGTATGAAAAATGGTGGGACTACTCTTTAATATGAATATCATTCGTATATTTATCGTGCAAAAGTATGTTTTTGTCAAGCTTCTTAACTTGCACACTGAAATTAAATAAAGGTAACTTAGCTATTTTTTGTGTCACTATGCTTTGCTAAATATCTTATGTTTAACAATCCACTTTGCAAAAATCTTCTCTAGAATTAAGAAAAACATGAAACGAGTTAAAAGCCGGGTGACGCTCTGTCCTCTCCCGATATAAAATGAGAAAAGTAGATGGGATCTTCAAAGTTTTTGTTCTGTTGCATTTCCAAAGTGGCCACTTGGCTACTTTGTTGCCTTAATTGTGTAATATTGTGATATTCTAGCAGGTCTCTACCTTGACTTTCCTTCAAAACCAATTGTCTTGATCTGACGTAAACAAAAGAATTTCCAGTCTCCCATTTAATACAAACACACACCCCACGAATTCTCTTTGGAAAACAACTGTCCTAAGTAAGTTATTTCTAAAACATATAGCTCAGTTTTGTTGGGTCATTTATTTTCAACCTTTGATTAAGTCTTAAGATACACTAAAGTTAAATTATAACAGACTTCTTAAGGTAACATGGAAGTTTCTAATGCTTTATGAGTCCAGGGCCTGTAATTTACCTCGGCCAACTCAGTCTCACAGTTGTCTAGGATACTTTAGGTCTTAAGGACCGTGATGGACTGGATCTCCTTAAAATGGATACATCTTACAAGCATCCAGTCACAGATGCTTTATGCCGATAGTCCATATATGCAAGCCAAGCTGGTTTCCAGGACCACTGCCGGATATTCCAACATAATCGATTGACCGTGGTTGCCTCCCACACGCATACATAATTATGTGGGATGGAATTTTCGTGATTAATCGTATTACGTAATTTTTATGTCTCAAATAATTTGCACTTATATGACATTAGGCAAGAAACAACCAACAAGACAAGGTAAGAACTTCATTCTAGTCATCTAGAACAAGTTTTATACTTCGGAATTGTTGATTCACACAGAAATGAAAGCTTAGCTATCTAGTAGTTTATGAACAATCAAAAAAGACAAAAAACTATACACCGTCAAATGGCGTGCCTGACAAGCTTCACTCGGCCCAATAAGTCCATTCAAAAGATGAGGTTTGGTACCGAATTTACTTGGTACTTCACTGAGAGCTGTGAAGCCCTATTTAACACCTCAAACATTCTCAAAGTCCTGAATATGTTGAAAGGACAACATAATTTTCTAATTGTATTTCACTGTCTATTACATCCAAAAAATAAATCCTAGCAAGTTCAAAAAGTAGCAGCATCAATGGGACACAAACAAAAATAAAGTTTCAACTTAATGAAACTAGCACATTTAAGTTTAAAAGTTGATCACTCAACTTAAAATAAAAAATCTCGATAAAAAACAGCATTTTTGCATAGTTAAAAGTATAGATGAATGAACATAAGAACACTCAGTTTCTAAAAATTGATGTCTCACTTCAATGGGTTTTGTTGAAAAATCAAGGCAGTTTTATCTTGATGACTTCCCGAAATTGGAGTATGGATTAATGATTACTACTGATAATATTTGGTTATCTCAGAAGAAGCTAATTGCTAATTACAATGACTGCCTACTCAAAAAGGAGCACCTGGTTGTAAATCAAAATTAACAGCTAAATATTTATCAGATATAAACTAAATTAAGTGTATATAGACCGCTATTTCGTTAATTAAACTGAAAACATTATCCTACAATCTATGACCATCTTTTTTGAATTGAAGGTTTGAATATGATTTACGCTAAAAGAACTGTTGCAAAGGTTAATTTCCATGTAATGTGTTACTATATAATACACAAACCTACTGTCTGGAGGTGAGTGTGCTGGAGGTTCACAAGGTAAGGTTTCGCTTTGATGAGACATCACTATTCTTTCGTTCCTTGGCTGTTTAGGGGCTGTTTCAAGTTGTCCAAATATAATTCTTGCGGTGCGACTGAGAATAGATCCATAAATATTTCTTGCCTCACACTGAAACATCTGTGAATCAGTTGAAGTGTCAGGATTATGAATAACTAATGATCCGGCACTGATGGAAATGCGGCCAGATGGTTCCGATGCTGGATCGATAAGTGTCCGATGCAATATAGTTACCGTACTACCTGTGCTGTTGGTCAGCATTTCAGTGCTGACATAATACCATCTATAAGTAGGCTGAGGATTACCATTCGCTTCACAGCGTAATTCCGCATATTTTTCAGTGCTCATTTGATGAACGTATCTAAAGCTAAATTGCCTTAAAATCTTGAAACTTACAATACATCTTTTGGATGGATGATGAAACATGGACCTTTCGCTCCCCTGCTTGATACATCACTTCCGTAGGCTAGTGATTTTGAAATAGGTAAGAGCTGGTTGGCGTTAGCAACTGCGGCCCGGCAAATGTGGCCTCTCCTTACGTTTGGTGTGTCCAAATACCAACCCCAGCGATTTCTGTCCGTCCCATAAACCAGGCGAGTACGATCCTTAGGAAATGAAGGACTGTCTGATGGTTTTGGTACAGGATCTAGCCACAAGGACATTAGTTCTGACCTAACATTTTGATATACGAGTGGATGACCTTCCCACATAAATTCGCCGAAGGAGTCAGGCCTCATTACTCCAGCCGTGTACCAGCGCAAGCTACATTGAAGTATAGAATAGGAACAAAATATAAAACTCACGACCGATTGACGGCAATGTCATTCAACCTGTCAGATATGAATTGGTGTTCTTTCACGGTGTCTATGCGTAACAATGATCCACCATGTGTCTGAGAATATACATTATGTCTAGAGAATTACTTCACAATTTTTCCTTGATGTCAAGTAATCAAATAGATTTTGTACGAAGAACGAATAGCAGTTAGATTCGTAGCTGAACCATCCATCGGGACAATCTTTTATTAACTGTGATGTACAAAAAACAATTGTTTACTTGTTTCAAGATTGTCATCTTTTGGACAGCCAAACCATGGATTGATCGCATATGAAGTATGTAAAATGACAAAGCAAATAGGAGCGAATGGCCGGAGTATCATGTGAGAAATAATCTAGTGGCTGTCAACAATAAAGATTTATTAACATATCCGCAACGGTTCTTTTGTACGAGAGACACATGTACAGTTTACGTTTTTAGTTAGTTTAAACAAAGTGGTGCAAACAACTTAGCTGTCTCGGAAGTTTATCGAGACTTCTGCAACTTAATTGTTTAATTATTGTTATTGAGTTAAAGTTCTTCTCTAGTGATTACTTTTCACAAATAGGAGTTCTTAAAATACGCTGTAATCTCCCCATAATTGTCTTATTTTTCCTTTTTATTTATTTTTTTTATTACAGCTTGAGTCCACACTGTGTTTTTGGTACAAGTATGAAATTTTCAGCATGGATATCGATAAAAGGGAAATAGGACGTATTCCGAACTGACTTTGCGCAGTGGTGGAGGTGTAGAGTGACGAGGATGCTGTCTTCTTCAAAATGTCTCTATCCTCGCATTTACTAGCATCCAGCTTGTTCTAGATTACTATCATGAATGGTGGTTGTTCATAATTCTCAGCATTTCGATTAGTACCCTACGTTTGCTCAGTTACATGATACTCTTATATCGCTTGCGTTTATTGCCAGGAAGTTGTAGAATTTATCGTAATTATTTGACTTTGGAACACTGGAACTGTGCATATAAGCTTGTTGACTGATAATGTCTATAACTATTTGTTTGGCAGTTTGTGACTGTCTAACACTGACTAATATCTACAATTGTACATATCGTTGGATTTACATGTCTAAGTCGGCTCAAGTCAGTGAGTCTATGGTTTCCATATCACTTTTACTAACTGTATTAACTGACACTGATACTAATCCTGCGGTTTTGTTGTTGTTGTCGCTACTTTCCCTGTTGTGAATTATTCTCCTTTTGCTGGTGTTGTTCTGATTGCTTTACTACTTGTGTCAATATAGTTGAAGATTGAACAATCAATTCATGGTTGTTTGCTCAAACCCAATTTCCCCATAGTTTTCGCGGGTCATCAATCCGACAGTCATCGTCTCATCATTCGCTGTTCAGAAGGAAAATTGAAAACTATCAGAAGTAATATCGCGATTCATTGTCATAACATTTGTTCTTAGATCTTTGTGTAATAACATTATCGTTGGTTATATGTTGGCGTAATAATAAAGAATTCTTGAGTCGGCAATCAGTGTTTTGGCTTTCGCGTTGGTTAGTACAAAGCGTTTCTGAAAGTCTTCGAGGGACAGCGTGAGGTCCGGCGTAGCAAGAGCTGGATATTGACAATTTATGAGACTTGACTGACACCTTGTTTTCCTGATTCTAAGAGGGGCAATTCATAAATTCGCTCCCCTGTAAACTACATATACAAGTACTAACCCCCTTCTCAGACGTGAGGATAGCAACCGCACCCGGTAAACAAAGTTGCTACAGAAACTTCAGCACGATGAGTCTCCTTGCGACAAAAGAAATAGTCTGTGTGGGGAAATGGAACGTACTTACCATGTATGAGACAGGCAAAGCTGCCCAGATTGCAAACAAAGTGAAAAGATACCAGGGATATTCGAAAGCAGATGGAATGGGGATGGACTCACTAAATTGTCAACGGGAGAGTCGATGATCTGCTCCGGTCACCCAGAAGATGACCACACGCACACCGAGGGGCGTAGCTATCATAATGTCACCAACAACAACGAAGACCTTGATGCAATTGGAGGCGATCTCGTCCAGGATAATGACAGCCAGATTCACCTCAAAAAGAAGGAAAGTGCCAGTCATACAACGCTATGCAACCACAAACAACGCAGACTTCGAAAAGAAAGAAGAGTTCTACTGACAACTACAGGCAACAATGGACAATGCTCCAGCTGGTGACATTAAAATACTAATGGTAGACATGAACGCCAAACTGGGACCAGACAACACAAGAAGGGAACTCATGATGGGTAGAGAAGCTCTTAGAGAAGTGAATGAAAATGGAGAACTCTTCGCCGACTTCTGCACCTTCAATGAATTAGTGATTGGTGGCAGCGTATGCAAACACAAAGATATCCACAAGATTATATGGGTGTCATCAGATGGGCGAACCAAAGACCAAATTGACTTCATCTCAGTTCCGCTCAAGGAAATGGAGGCGAAGCTTACTGGACACAAAAGTAAGAAGAGGAGCAGACGTTGGCTCAGACAACTATCTCATACAGGGGACCCTCTAAATCAAATTAAAAGCTTTCAAAGAAACAGGAGCTGCAGATTGACCACAAGCCATTGATATAAGTATAAAACTTGGGCACTGTGGTAGAGCATAACTCCATTATGGATAAGATTTTATTTTAATAAATCATACAGTGTTGTACATTAATATTAACTGATGACGTTTCGGGCACTAACTATTGCTCATAATCAAATCAACTTGATATCATATCAAGTTGAAAATGAATCCAGAGACATCAGCAGACTTTATTATATATTCGTTCCTACCTATGTAGGACACACCAGTGATACAGGCATGGATAAATATTATTTACATTACATGAATTTGATTTATGGTTAAATTACATGGTTGCTATCCTGTCTGCCATTTGTTTGTGAGTACAATCTGATAGCTAGCCGTTTAATGGAGCACATTAAGAAATATAGAAATATTTTCTTCGCATTATCGAAAAAACTAAATATGTTCTGGATGGATTACAAATATTTGGGAAAAAAATAAAGCTTGAAGTCAATTCCTCCATATAACTTTGTTGAGTGCGGCATCGCATCTTGTTCTTGTTTTATGTTCAAATTGGGTGTTAATTTAAAATGAGTAATTCGCTACTAAGGGGTGCGACTGACAATTATACATCCCATCCAACAGTTGTACGATAATGCTGCATACTAAGCAATCCACATCGGGGAACTCACGGAATCCTTCAAAGTGAAGACGGAACCCACACAAAACTGGGAGGATCTGGACTTCACCGATGATGTATGTATAATTTCCCACAAACTGGAGGACATACAAGTGAAAAGCAACAAATTGGTAGAAGAATAATTCAGAGAAGATAGGCCTTCAGGTGAACATAGAGAAAACAGAAGTGAAGATTCATGGCCAAAAACAGCAGCAACAACAGACAAGGATCAACATAAGTATATCAAAACGAGGATTGGAAAGAAAATCAAGCTTTCAGTACTCTCAAGTCTGTATGTAGACCAGCAACAGGGATCTCTGGGAGCGAACCAATCAGGGACCAACTATGCAACAGATAAGGGGGAAGAAATGGAGGTTGATTGGCCATACTCTGAGAAAACGACCAAGTGACATCACACGCGAGGCCTTCACTCGAGTGGAACCCAAAGGAGAAGCGGCGAGTTGTTCGTCAGTGCGAGGATGACATGAAGAGTGTCATGTGAAGAGGAGATGAAAGCATGCGGGGAGACGTGGAGCTATGTGATAACGTTGGCAGGGAACCGGAGGCAATGGAGTCGTGTGGCTGAGGCCAAGTGTTCCTCTATGAACTAAAGGAAAGAATAATAATAATTCTCAGCTGCCATGTAAGACCTTCAAGATATGGTGTGCTGCCATCACTCAGACCATTAAGCAACCGAGGATTTCGGGAGGATAGAGGAAGTTATTGAGGAATTCAGAAGGTTAGGAAGAGCAGTTAAGTAGGGAACATTTACGTTTAATGATCTGTGAAGTTTTCATAATCTGTTGACTAGGTTTTCGCCAAATTCACCCACAATCTGCGGTCCCTGCAAAAATGAAATTTCATTAAAAGCTTTAATCTTCTACAATCTTACGAATTTTCGATTAGTAATTTTATTTATTTTTTATTTATTTATTTTTGATTACAGCTTGATTTCACACTGTATTTTTGGTACAAGTATGGAATTTTCAGCATGGATATCGGTAGCCCAAATTTTGCAGGCCGACCATAGATATCAGGTTTTCGTTGGCAGGGGATCAAACCTCGGACCATGTGCATGGTCGGTGAGAGTTCTAACCACTGTGCCACCGACGCAGTAGTACAAAACTCGGCTATCAAAAGGCCCTCGAAATTGTGGAACTTCACGGGTATTGATGTGAATACAACTGCCATAAGATTAAGTGGCAGTTCGTATTACCCACAAATCCATCACATATTGAACTAACTCGATAGGAATCTAGCTAGACCCAAGCCCGACAGCAAAATTAGGCATTGGGCCACTATAACCACAGCACAAAAATCATCAAAACGTTACAAAAACGCACACGAAAATCATGAAACATAGAAAAAATTTGAAAACAAAGAAACTTATTCTTCGCTGGAATCGAAGATGCGAAATGACGCGGGCTGATGTGAGCCTCCGGAAGGCTAGTCAGCTAATGTGTCTCTTCTCGACGAAAGCGAGAATGAGACTGGGGCTGTGAAATGCACGTACAATTTACGAAGATGGGAAAGATTACTATGTTGCCTAAGAAATGAGAAGATATGGTGTTAATGTGCTGGAAACCTGAGAGAGCAGACAGAATGGATGTAAACAGTCGAAATTGTCAAATAGAGAGAGGAGTCAGTAATCTACTCCAGTCTGGTCGCCAAGACGACAACTACGAGCACACTGAGGTGATGACTCACTATCATTATTTCACGGGTGTAAGCTAAGGTCTCACTCAATGTTAACCGATTTCATCCAGGACTACGACTAGAGGATTCAACTCAAAAGGCAGGAAAGAAGGTCGCAATTATGAAAAGCTACTGTAATCCCACGAGTCAAGCAGTGATCTGAAACAGAAGACAAAGCACACATTAGCAGTATGATCACACAAGTTCCGCGTGTTGGTAAAAACGAAGACTCAAGGTCAAGGAACATATTTACAACCAACAACAATACAATCAGATGAGAGGGAAGCAGCAATCTTATTGGTCATCCGTTGCCTCAACTTGGACGACCGATTCCTGAACGCTTCGTAGCCAACCTGCAATTAGACAAGCATAGTTTGAACATTGTAAAACCGCCGAACTTACCATGCCTTACACTACCTGCTCTCCCATGGAGCGCTGCCCTCGGCGCCAGGTGACTGTTCCTGCAGGACTTGCCTGAACTAAGGCCAGTTGCCGAAAAGGCTTTTATGTATTGAAGTGTGTGACTAGACTAGGAGGGTCATTGG